CCCCAAAACCCCAAAACCCCAAAACCCCAAAACCCCAAAACCCCAGCAACCTCTGTAGCGACTGAATTAAATATTATTGACAAGTATGGGAAATAACGCATGCTGTGCTAACAGACAGCCACAACAGAAGGTTACGGTTGAGAGTAAGAATACGTTTTGGGATGGAAGGAGTTAAGAGGAGTGGGGTACTGATCGGAGTGTTTAATTAGCATTGTTGTGTATCGCAAATTTAGCGACTGGACAGATTTATTTAGAGCAAGATAAGGATTTTAGTGACTTGGTTTACACTTAACGATTTGATCTGTTTTTCAGAAAATGTATCCCATAATTTTAATATATCAAATGGTTTCTAATAGAATCTTATGGAATCTGGTGGTCCTCTGTCATATTTCAAGAATCATGAATTTTCTGATGTTAAAGTTACACATTTTTTTATGAATTTTCTATTTTATGAAGAATTTCTTTATTATTAGCAACATTTCAATAATTTCATATGATATGAATTTGGAGCCACCAAATGTTCTAAAAGATTTTCTATATGACTTTGGTGTCTAATTGATTTAATAGTAGAGTCTTCAAATAAACCTTATATCATTTTGAATGAAAATTTAAAAAGCTCCTAAACGATAAAACCGAACCTAATCCTACACTTCTTGCTATGCAAAACATGAGTCTTTCCCTTAATAGTTCAAGACTTCTCAAATTTTAGATATATTTTCAAATATCAGTTTCCTCAAAACCTACTTCCAAAAATGAATTTTTTTCAAAATCAAAAAACCGGCCCTCATCCTTGGCCCTCTGCTCTCATTTCCTGTCAAACCCTTGACACCAACACTCCACTATCCCTACCCATGTGCATATCTCACATCTCCATCCACCCTCACATATTTCCTCCTTTAACAAATTTCTAGAACCAACAAATTCAGAATCCCCCAGGTCCCTAAAGAAAACCAGAAAACCACAAAAACTCCCTGAAGACTTCACTACATATCTGTCTGAGGCTAAATTTTCAGCGACAGTCAAGCCTAAGAGGAAGGTTTTAGTCACCCCAAAGTCTAAGTAAGGACTTAGCTGTAATTGTACAGAACTCTGAAAACCTCGAAGTCTAAACAGAGTCTTCATGGACGTAAGAGAGCAAAGAAATCCAAAAAGTTCCAAACAATGAGTTTCATATCAGGTGAGTTTAATTGAAATTATGAGTTATTAACATAAGTGAATGTTTGAAATGTATTGAAAACAGTGGGTTTTTTGATGGAGAAGCTTATTAATTCGTATATGCAAGAAAACTAAAAATTTATGTTGTTAATATAAAAGCTCGCAGATTTTATTCTTAGTCATATCATTTTTCAGCTAAATTAATGATCATTTAGGGAAACAAACTGAGAAATCCAATAAGAATGCCAGTGGGAAAACTCTCTTAACTGACAATATTGCTGCTGAAATACAAAAGTAAGAGTTCGACTTAACTTCTATAGGATGTATGCTGAGAAACGAGCCCGTAGAGTGTCCTGTGTCCAAGGAATTGAATACAAACCTACAGCTTATTGTGACACTCCAATTACTAAAGCTGAAACTATTGCAGAATATCGTGAGAGAATAAGTGGTCTCAACTTCGACAACTTCTCCAAATATAATAAAAGAAAATCTGGTTTGAGATTTACTTTTGCACGCAAATAAAGAGCCGTAATAATATTTTCATTTCAACTTGCAATAATCTGAAAGGGGTTTTGGGGTTTTGGGGTTTTGGGGTTTTGGGG